AAAAAAAAAAACAAAACAAAACAGCTATGATACAGTCTCTGCACTAAAACCAATGACTTCGTGGAGCTCATTCTGTCTGGAAGGCGTGACTGTGAGTTAAACTCAGAGAATGGTAAGAGCTACAATAAGACAGGGAGGCCGAGTAGGAAGCGACTGGTGGGGCTGAGGCGTGCTCATTTAGCTTAGACAAAGGAATGCTATCCTAGAGAAGTGACATCTGCCGTCAGTCCCAGATGGGCCCATAAAAAAGGAGCTCATATATGCTGGAGGCTCATAAAAAAGGTAAAGGTCAAGGCCAGAGCCACCAGCACAGAGATGATACCCGTTTAGAGCCGGGAACAGATAAAATTGCCCGTGGAGCCCAAGGCAGGGGCGGCAGGGGAGCAGGGCAGCTGCTGGTGTGAGAGTAGAAGCTGCAGGCTGGCTTTGGCATGCTCAGAGCAGGGGCCAACGGCTCACATCCTGGAAGTGGCAGTGAGAGAGAGAAACGAAGACAGACTTTAAGAGTAGTTACATTTGGGAGCTGCTAGCAGGTGGGAATTCTTGCTGAGGACTGATTTCCCTTAAAAATCTCACTTCCCATCACCTGGGCCTGGTCAGACAGGCTCCTCTTCTACCCACAGGCTGGCTTGTTATTGTGATGGCTGCCACTACATTTGCAAATAGTCCTGTGTCTCTGCGGGGCATTCCTGAGCCCCTTGACCACCCTGTGAACAGCCCAGCCCCAGCCCAGGCTGCCTTGCCTTGGAAGCCTGTGAATATGAGCAGCCCTCCCTGGGCCACGACCCTGAGCAGCAAACAGCTGGCCCCTTGGGAAGGTGAGAGAGCCTGTGTCCCAAGTGTGTCACTGAACTTGCAACAACATGAAGCCCACCCACCTGTGGCTGTGCAAGTTTCCCTGGGGTCTCTGGAAGTGGGCATCTCTGAGGCTTAGCAGGGACATGGCTGGAAGGCCACACTGGAGTTCCAGCTTTCTGCCACTTCTCACCCAGCCTAAGGCACCCTGATTCCACGGGGCTTCTATGCCTCGTTTACCTTCAGAGTTGGGGACTTGGGAAGACTCGTGTCTGTAAAACCCAGATGCACAGAGGTGACGGTGTGGTGTTGGCTTCGCTCAGTGCACTGTCAACCGTGACCTTGTGCAGGGGCTGCTTACCTTCAGGACCTTCTTGATGCCATTGATGGTGGAGGTCAGCAGGGAGTGCACCTTGAGGTCGTCATTGGTGTAGTCTGCATGCCTGATGCACATGTAGAGGATATAGGCGGGGAGACAGGGCACCGTGCCTGACAGCATCTGGGGCTTCAGCTCTGAAGGGACAGGGGCAGCCACAAACAGCAAAGGTTAATCTGTGGGCACACCTAGGGCTGTCGGTGTCCTCCTCTGAGATAGATTTTCTGTACTTCCCTGCAGCTCATCTCCAAACAGACCACTGGGGGCCAGAGGAGGAGGAGTGGAGCTGGGGAGAAGCTCCTTGGTTACACAAACTCCTTCTGACCCTCCCAGTAGATTCAGACACCACAGTTAAAAACACAAACAAGCAACACCACATTCCTAATTGTTGGTGTTGCATCACTAAACAGGCTCCCAATGGCCTCATACTTACAACACAGAGAAAAAGAGCCTCCACACATCATAGTCTTCAGCCACAAGGAGGCCTGTGCTAGAGGAAGGCTAAAGATAGGACCTGGCTTCCCTCACAGGGGCGAGAAAGCCTGATTTCTCAGCACCACCACTTCCAGAACACGAGGGCTGGCCTCAGAAATTGATCAACTTTATGTTCCCCAAAAGCCAACCTGCCAAGCTGGTGAAGGCTGGAGCAACCTCTGGCCCATCAGTTCTAGAATAAATTACCCAGCAGTGTTTGCCCATTGCCTCACAGCCAGAGAGATCAAGCAGGCCCCCCATCCCACCCCATACATCACCCATACCTCTCCTGCACCCCAAACCCATCCCCTGTGCCCCAGGAAGGCTTATCTGGTAGGACTGGGAGAGACTTGCGACTTTCCCCATGAACTAAAGACTTACACTCATCCCCTTTGGCCTTCCCCTGCCAAAGCCCCTGGAGGGCCAGAAAGCAGCTTTCAGGTGGTTTTCTATTCCCGAGTGCCCCAGGGGAAGTCAGCAGATCAGGCTTAAAGCAATGACTGGTGGGAGAAACCAGAGAGGTGGGAAGAAAGGCCTGGTGGAAGGCAAGATGCCAGGTGAGAGCAGAGTGCAGGCGCCAGGCCTGTGCTATATCCCTGGCCCCTGACCTCACCAGGCCTTGGGAGCCACCTCTAGGCTTGGGATCACAATGAGGGGTGGCCACCTTCCCCCACCTGCAGGTGTGAAACATCCACAAATCATCTGCCAGGACCATCCTAGTTAGACTGGGGCGACTGGAGCTGTGCTTCCGACAGCTCCAGCCAGGACTAGGGTCACACTGTCCCATCAGGTGTATCCTTCCAGCTAAATGCTAACTACAGCCCACAATACTGTGGGTACACCGTCAACATTTGGGCATTTCATGGGTCCAACAGATGGCTATGGATTGGCCACTGGCTCTCATTAAAAATGCCAGTAACATTTATCCAGAAAAATAATTTTGTAGGCCTAGACTTCTAGCCCATAGCTTCTTGCTTCAAGCCTGACTGATATGCAACTGCAAACAGCTTGACCTGCCTGGGAAAGTTCTACCGTGACTGAACAAGGCTTGCTCAGGTTCCCTGGCTAAATGTTTGCATCTACTTTTTTCTCCTCCACAGCAACTGGCCAGTGCCAGGTACTTAAGAGGTGTCGGTCAAGTCTTGGCATTTGTTTGGATGGTGTCTTTTGGAGGGAAGATGACTGGGTGCTTTCCTAGGCAGCTCAGCAGCAAATGACCTTGCCTGGGGCCACGTGAGCAATGACAGCAGTGCAGGTGATGGGAGGAGCCACATATCTGGCAGATGCAGCATTCATTACTTGTTTAACTCTGATGCTGTGAACTTTGTGTTTTAGTCGCCAGAGATTAAAGATCCATTCCTAACTGCATTTTGTTTTTTTTGTTTTTTTATTTTATTTTATTTATTTATTTTTTTTTTCATTGAATGGTATCCTAACTGCATTTGAACAAGGTGCCATCTGCTTGAGGAAGTTTCAGATGAGGTTAGATCGTATTACCGTTGGACAACTGTAGAGGAAATTAACTTTATAAAAGAGCACAATAGTCAGTAATAAGGCAGCTACTGAAAGCACCTAAACTGGTCAGGCACTGTGGCTCATGTCTATAATCCCAGCACTTCAGGAGGCTGAGGAGAGAGGATTCCTTGAGCCCAGGGGTTCGAGAGCAGGCTGGGCAACACACCAAGGCCTTATCTCTGCACACACACTCACAAGCAGTATGCATCTATAGTCCCAGCTACTCAGGAGGCAGAGTTAGGAGGATCATTCTAGAGTTGGAGGCTGTAGTGAGCTATAATCAGGCCACTGTACTCCAGCCTGGGCAACAGAGTGAGACCCCCTCTTAAAAAGCAAAACAAAATGCCTAAACTGAATAGTTAAAGCAAAATCTGTTCAAGGCAGAAGTCACACTCCATTCTCCTGTATCCTTTAGCCCTGGACAAAAGCTCGGAGTGGGACCTCGATAACCTTAAGTACACATCTCTAACGTAATTTTTGTTCTAAATACTGCTGCAAAAGCTGCCACTTCTTGGAACCCCTCACATTTGAGGAGGGTTTTGCAGTTTTAACACAGCACTTTCACCTTTGTTAGGCTTTGTGTGATGGGGGAGGCAGTGTCAGTGTCGCTGTTCCCATAAATCAGACCAAACTCTCCTCTCCTCATGCAGGATTCTCTTTTCTAAAGACTCTTTTCCTGGCTCTGGAGGGCTGCTGGACCAGGCTGGCCCAGAGTGGGAAGGGACTGAGCTGAAGCCAGATGAGGCATGAGACCAGAGGGGAGGAAGCCAGTACAACTGGCATAGCAGCACACAGGGCGCAGAGCTGAGCAGTCTGCAAGTGAGACACAAACCCCGTCCCCCTGGCTGAGCAGCCAAGCCCAGGGGTGGGAGGCTCCTTTAACAGGAAAAATTCTTTTAAGTTGTGAGGACCAAGCTAGGGAGGGGTGATTCTGCAAAGTGGCTTTCATAACTGTCTGGTAACCCTGGGGGAGCACATCCAGGGGGGTGGGGGATCAGCTCTGACCCCTGGATAAGAAGCTTCGAGTAAACACAGGGACGTAAATACCAATCCTGGTGAAATGCCACAATGGGGCAATGTGACTTTACACACTCCACACGAGCTCAGCGCCCCTCAGACATTAACACATGCAGACGCCACCGGGAATCTTGCTGTCACCATTCTCACTCAGGTCTGGAGCCTGAATTATGCACTACTTCTAAACAACTCACCAGGCTGACAGTGACACTGATACGCTGGTCCAGGGACTGTGCTGTGTGTCACAAACTGTTAACTTTAATTCTCACAACTCTATGCTATATGTACAGTCTCCCCCTCCACGTTTCAGAGGAGAACAATGGGACCAGCATAGCCACAGCCACATGGCCAGGCAGGAACAAAGGCCATCTGGCTCCAGAGACCACGCTTGCACACGCTGGGTCACCGGGCACTTACACACTGTAAAGTTTTACACAGAGGGAGTCTGATCCTTGATCTACTGCTTCCCAGCTGTGTGGCCTGGGCTGGTGACTGGAGTGGGTGCCTGTTTCCTCCAGCATAAAATGAGCAGTTTCCACTTAAAGGGAGGTTGTGAGGATTAGATGAGACAAGAGTGCTTGGGGGGGAGGGGGCCTGGCTGTGGATGGATCCAGAAGCATGAGCTGCTTTGCCACGAGAACACCATTGCCACACAGAGCTTTACCATCTCTGTCTGCCCTGGGCAGGGCACAGAGGCCTCTCTCCGCGTTTATGTGTCGATAGAGGCGGAATTTCTATTTGGAAGAGCTGTGGGTTGTTATGAGGAGCAGCAGCTGGGGATAGTGGGGGTATGTGTGTGGGGGCACGGGCAGCATGGCGTGTCACAGCAGTACTGACCTGTCACCAGGTTCCGAGTGAGGAGGGCCTCGTCCTCCTTGTGGTACTCCAGCATGCCCTGGAAGTCCTTCTCCTTCCGCTGTACCGTCACCTGCCGGGTGAGCTCATGGTGCCGCCTCTCGCTCTGAGCCAAGGCCTGTGCAGCTGAGCGGGGAAGACATGACAGTGGTGTGAATGAGACGGCCGGTGGAGGCCCATGGTGGGCAGATGTGTCTCGAGGACTAGACGTTCTCTGATACCCCGCGCTCTCTACCTGGTCTATTCCTGTAGCCTGAGGCACACTCCCAGTGTGAGGTGGGCACTCAGCACCTGGCAGTGGGGGCCACTCCAGAAAAGGAGAGGAAAACGTCTAAGGAGGCAATGAGCATGCTTGGGAGCCGAGAAAATGTGCATATGATGTGATACAGCAAGATGTTCAACCCCTCCTGTGGGGCAGCTGTTTCCTTTTCCCTACTAGGTGCTCAGAAAAGGGGGACCACTTTTCTGGGAGGATGTTGGAGGCCCTGTTCAAGCCTGCCCTACTCAGTTCCCTGTGAGTGGCCATTGTGACAAAGCCACAGCACAAGCCCAGGTGTTCAGGGCGAGGCCTGGGTGGTGAAGCAGGACGGTGCCAGTGATAGAGGAAGCAGCCATCTCCAGCACCCCAACAGACTCTGGTTAGAGAACCCATTAAATGTGGTCTTTGCAACTATACAAGGCAAATTTGGGAGGCATTTCAGTGGCCTGGTTGGGGGTAAGGAAGCCCTGGTCAATCTCTGAATCAGGTGGTCCCTTGGCCTAATACTATGGGGAGGGGTGGCAGACATCCAGAATTATCCCCAAGCACATCTGGGTGCTTACTGCATGCAGGGCCCTGTCCCAAGAACAGGAATAGACATGATGGCGAGGCCAGGTGCCAGGCCAGGAGTGTATCCTGTGGGCGCTGATGGTGGCTGAGGCTGGAAGGACCTGATGGAGGAGATGGGATGAAGGGTGGGTGGGACTCTCATACCACTTGCAAAGGGCCTGATTCATCACCACACAAGTCCCTGGAACAAGAGGCTCCAGGTGGGGCAGTGTGGATATGGAGAGGACAGGGCTGGGGTATCATTCTGCAGGCAATGGGGAGGGGTGAGGCCTGACAGCACCGAGAGCAGGGGCAGACCAGGAAGCTATGAGTCACCGGTGCAGGCACTAAGCCTGGTCAGTGAGGGGGCAGAGGCTGTACCAGAGAGGAGATGTTCAGGACTGAGCAGGGGGAGGAGCTTGAAGCTGAGACCAGGAGAACAATAACTCAAGGAACCATAGTGAGAAATCCAGAGACGACTTGGAGGTTAGGGGGGGACACATGGGCAGTGTGGGGTAGAGATCACTTCTGCCCACACATGTGCCCGGGGTGGGCCAGGCCTCAAGGCTGAACAGGACATATGTCTTTGCCCTCCAAGAGCTTCTGGTCTAGAGCAGTAGGTGATTCAACAAGTAAAATGACACCAGTGATCAGGGCTCTGCTGACAGGCATGTGGTGTCAGGACCCAGGCTCCTTTGCTGAGGCTGAGAGGCTGAGGCAAGGCTCCAAGTAGGGTGACATGTGCAAGAGTAACATGATTAGATTTGCAGCAGGGAGTCAAAGGGAGAGAACAGCGTTGGTGTTTTGGAAGAGTAATTGAAATCTCTACCTGACCTTTCTGGGCCAGATTCCAGATTGGAAGTTTCATCCTGACATACCCCCAGCTTGCAGGGAGGTCCCTGAGGTTTGGGCCTTAGTGTTGAACAGAGTTCTCTCACCACAGGAAGCCTTGCCTCCCAAGGTTAAGTCTCTGAGGGCAGGACCCCCTGAGGCACCATCCCAGACCCCCACACCTCAAGCCCTGCCAGAGCCTCGCTCAGAGCAAGCACCCAGACACCCGCTGATTCAAGTGCCTGCCATCTAGATTCCGGCCAGCTGCGGTAGTGAGAGCCTGTGGGATCTGCATCTCCCTGCATCCCACGGCTGACTGATCACAGCACCAGGACACTGGGGAAGCAGGAGAGTAAGCAGAGGGCCGGCGGCAGGAGCAGCTGAGCACGCCTGTGCCACAGAACACACTCGCCCACTTTACCTTCTAGGTCCTGCGCTTTCTTCATGTAAATCTTCAGTTGTTTTTTGAGCTTTCTCTCATTCTTTTCCAGCTTTTCTACTAGTTCCTTGAGGTCCTGGAAGCAGAGGAAGCAGTATGAGAGTGGACCTCAGCCCCTCCCTGGACAGCTGGGGTAGAATCCTCCCTGGGATGGAAGGGGCCCACTGTGGCCCGCAGCCAGCCGTTGGAGGAATGCCAGCCCAGGGACCCAGCCTGGAGAGCTGCTCTACGCAGTTGCCGCTCCCTGTTCTAGAACCCAGGAAGTGGGGGATGAATCAGAGTCCATTCTCTCACTAGTGACAGGTAAACAGCTCCTCCCAGTTCAGGCTCTCTGGCACCTTGCCGAGTGTCACCACGATGCTACCTAGGTTGTCATGCCAACCTCCCAGGGGACACACTCAGCCTGGGAGTCCTGGGGTGAGGTGGGCAGCACCCTGGGAAGGAATGACAGGTGAAGGTGTGAGATTGTAGGGCACAGGCGCACACAGCTGTAAGAACCAGTGGACCTGTGAAATCACCAAGCCCCAGAAGCAAAACAGAGAGGCCACGGCCCAATCCCTAGCAGCTGTTACCACTGGATGCCAGTCAGCCCACTGGGACCAAGAGCAGCAAGCTGCCATGGAAGGATTCTGCTGTCATTAAGGTCACCTGTGTTCCAACCTGTGGGCCTCAGGCTGCACGCTGATTTTGTGAGGACATTTTTTGCTTATCTGTGGTGTCAGATATCACAGTTAGTATTTGTGTATTTCCTTTGTAGCCCAGGACAACTCTTATTCTTCCCATATATACAGAGGAAAAAAAAAAGTTGGACACCCCTGAGCGAGACAGTGGTCCTCTGTGGCCAGGGAGGCAGGGCAGAGAAGAGGAGCCCCTGTACTGTCATTATCACAGCCCAGGCTTTGGCAACCAGTGTCAAGGAAGACAGAAGCCTCTGAAAACATCTTGAGTAACAACTTTTTAAGACGGGCCTATAGACAAGGGTCAGCCACAAGCTCAACCCCAGTGCTGCTGCCATCTCAACCCACAGACCTAGTTGTAGATGTTGTTAGGAACTTTGCTAACTTATCTTGACAAAAAAAGTAAAATTTTAAAAAGGTTCTCAACTGAGAAACAACTAAAAGCCCAGCCCAGATGATCACTGAGGCAGCATGGAGTAAAATGTGGATCAGGGACTCTGAGTGGCTTCTGTTTGAGAGGTCGTGGGTAGAAAGGGCCCAAGTGTCTGGGGAAACTTTAGCTGGGATTGTCTGGGGCTACGTAAGGTCTCCTGTGCATCCTCAGGTCTACTCAGACCCCATCTGGCACTCAGGTGTTTTCCCAACTTGTGCCAGGGGCTCCACCACATGGTCACCCCAACCTAGTCGTGCACTCACTAACCCTCTTCACAGCCAGTGGCCCTTCGCCCTCAGCTATAGCTCTGACTCTTGCAAAAGATGAAGTGATGCTTGGAACTGAACGCCGCAGTGAATGAGGAACCGGCATTGTGACTGCTCCTCTATGCAACATACTAAACCCACAAGACAAAAATGTGCTTCTTGTGCCTATCTCATCATTGTTTTGAAAACTTTCACTATACCCTGGCAGGGATGACACTAAATACTCTGATGTCTACTAGTAAGTTAATTAGCCACTAGATGCTTCCACGAGAAAAGAGAAACTAGTGACCAGGCTTTGACTCCTATTCTGCCTTTACGAGCTCTGACAGCTCAGTCAGCTTCCAGGGGAAAAGCCCAGGACATTCCATACTCCACCCTAACTGCTCACGCGGAGGAGGACTTTGGATCCTTGTCATGAAAGGTGGCTTTGTGGTTCTGAACTCCCAAGTCTAGTTTGCCAACTCTTTAGACCAGTGTTCTTCAATCTTTGTTATTTCACGGCACGCTTGACCCTATAGTTAAACTTCCATGGCACACACTATATTGATTTAAAGAAAAAAAAAGAGTAAAAAAGGAACATACTGTGCTTTGAACTTCTTTCAAAAATAATTTAAAAATTTTCACGGCACACCTAAGATCCTCTCATAGCACACCAGTGCCCATGGGTTGAAAATCATTGCTTCAGACCAAAACCTAAGGGGAATTAGGTAAGCCCGCTCTTCCCACACTTTAAGGCATATTGGAATCACTTGGGAATCATTAAAGTTTGGAATGAGCAAATTTAGCACCAATGTTAAGGGAGCATAGCTTTTGGGCACAGTGGCTATGAACTTGTAGAGCAATCAAGGCCCAAAGTTCTAGAGGCTAAAGTTACAGACGGCTTACTGAACAATAAGTTTAATCCAGGTGAAATTTTGTAAACTAAAAAATGAGCCCACCTGAAGATACCTCCAAACTTTAAGTTGCTACCAGGACAATTACATCCTCCCCTCCACATAGCCCTGTAATAGCATCAATGCATCCCAAACACTCCAGCCTATGGCTCCCCAGCACGCTGTGTTGTGGTTACTTGTGTATGTGTGGCAGGCAGGGCAACACAAGTCACCACACCAGCCTCTGAGACCTGCTGCGGCTTGCTCTTACAGGTCCCAGCCTGTCTGGGCAAGCAAGGTGGAATGCACTGCAGCAAGAGCCGCCTCCTCTTGCATCCAACACCACAGGGTCCCACTAGTGCCCTGGGCTCACTGCTCTAGCTGAGGGGCCCACTGTGCTGTCTTCGTATGCTCCAATGCAGCGGTCTCCCAGGGTGGGAATGCCTACCTCTGTCTCTTCACTGACTCCCCCAGCTGTGCCTGGAACCCCTGCTTATGAGCTAATAATGCAGCATCTCAGGTGCTCGGCCCTCCTACATGGAGGCACCACCAGGGAACATGGGCCAGAAAGTGCACTTCCTAGGCTGCCTCGTCTACCTGGTGGGAGCTAGCCCAATAATTTAATATGTACATTTCCTTCCTTAAAGCCACCAATTCACATACAATAGTGCAGACAGAGAGTGTGAGAAAGGGTTGTGTGTATATAAGTCCTATTCAGAGAGCCAGCAGTCCAGGGACCCACCTCTGCCTTGGGATCCAGGGAACTGGCCATCCAACCACAGATCACTTGGTTATAAAGGAATGGCAGCCACGGCTGGGCTCCTGGACTGACATGAGCCTGAGGCTCCCTTGCAGGCACACTCAACTGTAGAAGGTAACAGGGCCTCCAGTGCCCTGCCCCCGCCCACCATGCCCTCATTCCTAGGCAGGGGCCATGGTCCACGCTTTTCTGCTCTTTGCCCATCCCTGGGTTGACATTCCCAGCATGTCACCCCTGTAATTCTTTCCTGTTCTGTAACACTCATTGTTAAGCCCACACAGAGTCATACTTTTAATACCATCCTCTCTCTTTTTTAGTACCTTACTCCCTCTACTCATTATCCTGCAAGCTTTCATAGGGCAGAGACTCTTCTCTGGCCTCTGCCAGGGGGCTCCCAACACTCCCTTCCATTATTTCTATTGAGAGGTAGACTCTCTCCCCATTGTGTCTGGCCTAGCCATGTGATTGGCTTTGATCAATAGCATGTGGCAGAAGTGCCACCGTGCTGGTTCTGGGACTAGGCCTGAAGGGGCCTCGCAGCTCCTGCTGGCCTCCTCCTGGAAGCCAGCTAACACGGAGCAGCTCAAGGCAGATCAATGGTCAACGAGAGGGCTTCTGGACAAGGATAGCTAAGGCCCCAGATACAGGGGAGAGGCCATCTGGAATCTTTCAGCCTCAGCCAAGGGGCCCCAGCCAGCACTACATGTTCC